TGGGTTTTTTGTTTTGGGGGGGGGGGGGATGTCACAGTGGGAAATTAAAATATGGACGGGCAAGCAGTACATCCATCTCTGGCTACTCGGAACAACATGGCAAATTCAAACAATAAAATAATAGAACGGAATCTTGTATATAAGAAAGCTGCATTAGTCTTCATGAGAACACACTCGCCATCAAACACCATTGACAGCAGTTAACCACTTTTTACACAATTATGAGAGTTAATGCTGCTTTAAGTATTTTCTTGGGAGTAAATACAAGTTTTATGATAGCCCAAGTCGGAGCCTATGATGCATTTTTTTTTCTCACCATCATCTCTCGGGGGACCGCACGAGTGTCAATCTAAACCAATTGGAGCATCTCAGAACTGATCGAGTTTGTCTATAAAGGATCCACTATAGAGTCAACCCATTATATCTAGCGAGACAGCCACAGATTTGTTTGTGTTATTGTTAACTTACTGACTTATGTTTACGCCACACTTGTTTGGCAGACTTTTGTGAAGTTGTTGCTGTGAATGCTTAAGAGACTGCAAGTCAGTGTTTCGTCAGTTAACAACTCTTAACTGAAGTCGATAACGCAACTGGCTTTGAAATTAATTCCTGATTCATTTGCCTTTAGTTTATAAGCCTAACCTATGGGACAATAAATCTGATATTGTTTATTGTCATGCAAATGAGTTTGTTGTTTGTGTTTGTTAATTAATACATAGGAAGGGAACCTTGGGAAAAAATAGTTGTATATGAAATCGCAAAATTGAGGACAGGGAAAAAAGAATCTCATTTTTTAAAAATCGTCCAGCTCCAGTCTGCACAATAACTGGCATTCAAAAATATCTCACCATGTGGGTGTTGCGAGAACACATCAACGTTCACTCGTCATACTCTTGGTTTGACTTTCCAATACTCTATGTGACTCTGTTTCCTCTGTTGCTTGGCTTTCAGCATCCTGGGCACAAGTTACATCAAGAGTTTAGAACATGCTCTTTATCATGCTGTTTTGAAAAGCTTTCCTCCATTATTTGTGTACTTACTTATATGTAAAGTAGACAACCACAGCAAAGACCACTAAGATGAGGAGTGCGACAAGGACCAGTGCTACAATTAAACCCGCTTGCTCCTTTTCGGAGGCTCCAAGGAGCAGTTGGAACTGCTCGCATCGACTCCCCTTGTAGTAGTCGTTGCACCTAAACGTAACATAGAATCTCTCAGTACGGCAGTCCAAACATGCTAATTCATTAACATTGCGCGTGTTTGCATGACTTACACGCAGGAAATTGTTTCCATCGAGGCAAGTTTATAGCACGTGCCTCCGTTCATACAATAGGCAGCGTCCTGCCCGTCACATGGCACTCCATGTTCTGTATGTACAAATCAAACATCGATCAAATGGTTGCTTGCTCAAAGGGGAATGTTTCAAAATCAAGTTTTATTTTTACCCGCCATCATCTGGAAGGTGGATCTTTTTTTCTTTTCTTTTTGCTTTTTTTTCTGTTACCTAGATAGAGAGTTAAAAATGCTGGTGAATTAAAGGCGAAAACGGATTAATAGGAGGCTGACAATTGATCTCTGTGGAACCCCTTCCAAAAAGCTTCAACTACTCAAGCTGCATCCGATGTGATAGTTGCCTCACAAAACAAAAACACCTCACTGTTTCTTTAATAAGGTTCAATTATTTGCTCGCACAAAGAAAAGGCAGCGCTATATGACTTGAAAAAAAAAAAAACGGTAGTTAAGGACTATCTAACAGGTGTCCTTACCTGCTTGTGAAATCCCAACTTTTGGTCGCTACCGTGACTTCCCAACGTGACACAGAGTACTGTGTTGCTTTCGCCTAGACCTTTAAGGGCAAATATCACGTGGGCGTGCTCCTGCCTCCGAAAATATGTTGCAAATGCAGTTTGTCCACATTGCCTCTGAAAATGTGATACCAGCTCACTGTAGCCCATTTGTCAGTTTGTCTGTGAGGTCAGTAGTGTAATCGCAGTAGCCCGTGGCCATCACTGTGATGGATGATGATGATGATGGTCCACGCGCGGTCACATGTTCTCATACCACCTGAAAGGAGTCTCTCCGTCACAGGCCTTGGATGGGTGAGGCAACACTTGCGCTTGTCTGCGTGGTGAGACTCGAATGAATGGTTGGCATGTCGAGAAGGCATGAATGGAATCGTGGGAACTCGAGGCAAGGCGCTGCGGACTGCTTCCTTCAAAGACGCAATTCGTGTCTCAGGACCGTTAGTTGACTCATCAGCTGGCAAGTTTTCTTCATTGTTTCGCAGCTTTCTTAATGGCAAAGTGCCGTGCTGCAGGCTTGGCAGAGGGCCCCATTCTGATAACATAGATGTATGAAATGCATCACTGCGTCTTCTATAATTTAACAGTTATGTGCCAACTACAAATGGTGTCACTGGGTTGTGGTTTAGTTTCACTTGAAAAGCAGGGGCGGGAGAGATTTTCCATCATAGTATCGCATGAAATTCTTTTGATGACAGTGCAATCGTGTCACTTTTTATAACTTTCTATTTTTGTGTTCATTGGTTTATTTATTTATTTTTAACCCTTTTAGGGACAGCGGTTACTACAGTGGACAGCTTATCATGTTGTCAGGTTACAGGGTGCATGAAAGGGTTAAGGAATGTGTAGTTTTACAACAGTGTTTAAAATCTCAACTTAGGTCGAAATTGTACCTCTTTTCAATTTTGAAAAACCTATGCCACTTTTATTTTTTTATTCGAGTCACTGATGATGTAGTGATGCATTCGCCTGACTTACTGTATGTGCGGGCAGCGTGGGCTCGGTTCCCACTCAGTGACGATGTGGGTGTGAATGGTTGTTTGTCTCTCTGTATGTCCCCTGCGAATGACTGGCGACCATTTCAGGGTGTACTCTGCCTTCCACCCAAAGTCAGCTGGGATAGTGTCCAACAACTCCCTGCAACCCTGTTCAGGATAAGCAATGTTGAAAATGGATGGATGGACTTTATTTTTCTATAAGTCATTAGGCCAGTGACCATCTTAACCTATTATTGAAAACCCGATCAATTTGTGGCTTGTGGTACATATACAGTATCATAAATAATGGATGCCCACTGGGATGCATTGTGGTTGCTTACAACCATACAATTCTAATTAGATACACATAGATTCCTGCGGTGAGTTATTGTATGTGACTTTTTGTAGTATCCAAGGTTTAAAACTGATGTAGTAAAACTGTTAAGTGAATTCAGAGATTTGTTTTGAAATACATTGGATATGTTTGAAAAGGTGCAAAGAGTGAGAACTGTGGAGCACACATTTGTGGACCTATAGCGTTAAACCTACACCAACCAATGTTAAGCCTACACCCTAAAAATCCATCTTCCCATTGGCTAGTCCACTGGCGTGCCCGCTTTAGAGCGCCTCATTGACAGCTGTGAGTGCATGCACATCACAGTAAAAAAAAGTGTGAGAAGTTTTTTTGAGTTAGTGATAGCTTAGCGACTTGCGTGATGACCGGTGTTTTCCACTTTAGAAAGCAGCATAGACGTGGACAAGCCCCAGCGACAACCCGATGGGATATATGCCAGCCACTGATGGCTTTATATTTTTGCATTTCAAACAAGTAGTCATATGTAGGCATAAGAAAGATCCTAGACAAAGTAGCATCTTATTTTCCAGGTCATAGAAGTGGTGCTTGATCGACAGTTGAGTGGGGTGTAGTTTTAGGGCCCTCATTGGACATGCCCACAGTGTTTGAGAGCAGAGAGAATGGCTTGATTTTTTTTAAAATCATTTTAAAGCCTCATTTTCTATACATGATGATTTTTGATCATTTAAATTTGGCGGAGGGCGTGGTGTGTCAAATTTAGAAATTTATTTTGTCTTTATAGGAATATTACAGTCATACTGTACCATCTATAGTACTTTCGTCATATTCTGCAAATTGCAGAAATGTACCAAAAGTATTACGTTTTACAGTATTATGAAGAAGGATGAGGCCACCATTAGATGTGGTGTTTTAGCAATGCTATCCTGATCATATACTGTACATATAACTATGCTACCAATGGAGCACAGACCTCCACCAAGGCGGAACTATTAATACAAGTAAAAACAATGTAGAGCTTTGTATTTGGCTTTGTTTGTTTGTTTGTAGGCTACTTCCTGCTAAGCAGAGGATGAAAAACAGACATGGTGCCATTATGATTTCGATAGATACATACTCTATTCATCCAGAGGGAAATTACACATTGGTCTGTTGTTTACACTCACAAAAAACAGTGGCTCTCTCCTATTTCCTTTTTTTTTGGGGGGGGGCATATTGTTGTGAAATATTGCAGACATCTCTCCTGGATATTCAACATTTTGGGATAATTAATCCGGATTGAGCTAAAGCAAAAATAAGGCACGATGTAAATCAGATGTTTTTTTTCACCCTTTTTTTTTCGCCATTTTCCCGCTTTGGCGCGTGTGTTGTTATCGCGAGGAAGCTGAAGGAAGTGAAAAGAAGCAAAAGTGTTTTGGGTTTTTTTTCCCCCCGACGTCGACGCTTCATCAGAGCTGGAAGTAAAATGTCTACTGTGGCTTCTACACGCGAACGCAGTTCATTCGTATGTTTTTCGAATTGATTTAATATATATATTCTGATTATTATTGTGTTTGTTTATTTATTTATTTTTTACATTTGTGCTTATTGTATTGTCCTCATCGACGTCTTCAGCTTTTGGACAGCTCCCGTTTGTGAGCCTCTTCGTCCACATGGAGCCCCCGGTGTGATCGCGGGGAGGGGGGCGTGGAAGACCCCCCCCCCACCACCACCTCTTAAAAAAAAAAAAAAAAAAATTCTTCACGAGCCACCCTCCCACGATGGGACCGTGTCCCCGGACTCGGTGACGGCGCCGCCTGCTCCCGAAGCATGGTGCCCTCGCGCCGGAGGAGGAGGTCTGTTTGTCGCGCTGTGTCCCCGGAACGGCGACGCTGGTTCTCGGCGGATTTGTCAGCCCACTCAATGAAGCCAAGATCCGAGCTCCTCTCATTGTGATCTTCATCATCGGCGAGGAGGGAGATGTGCCCGTCGTCACTGCGAGGGCAAATGAGTCACGACCATACTTTCCACTATGTAGAGCAAAGCAACGCAGGAGGTTAGTGTGCATTCGTTTGCTTCCTTTTTTCCCCCCCTTTCTTGTGTTGCTTGAATCGGGAAGGAGAAGAAGAAGAATCCCACCGAGGGGCCTCCGAGCACAATTTATGTCGGCCTCGCTTGACATGATTGCAAATGCATCTTGATGAGGATGAGCTTGTGCAGAAATAGACTAAGGCTCGTTGGCTGGAAACGAGATGGTGAATACATTGAGAAATAGACCGAGCGAGGCTCGTTGGCTGGAAACGAGATGGTGAATACATTGCAGCCTTTTAGACAGCCATCACCATGATGGAGCACTTCGAGGAGAATGGAAATCACAGAAGAAAGATGTGAAAGTTGTTGTCTGTTTTTAATCATATTCCCAACAAGCCCACAGTGAATCACCTTGAGGATGAATTGGAAGCACATACGTCTCAGAGTCAGAATAGAATGGAGCAGTGCAACAAAATTAGGCATTTCTCATCTCCGGGGTAGAATGACGTCAAAAATGCAACCCATCGATATAACTTAAATATAATGTTCAAATTAACTAACTTAGCTGTGTTTAAACATGTTCTTCAAGCTCTATTATGGCAACACGGTGCCAAGTGGTTCATACGTCTGCCCCAAAGTTTTGGGGTTGGAACCTTAGCTCCAGCGCTTCCGATGTGGAGTTTACATGTTCTCACTGTGTTTGCATGGTTCTCCTTCCGGTACTTCCTCCCACATTTCAAAACATCCATGTTCGGTTTAATTGAGGGCTCTAACTTGTCCATCGGTAAAAATGTAAGTGTAATTATTTGTTTTTCAACTGTATAGCTAATTTGCTCAAAGTCGGCTGGGATAGGCGCCAAGAAGTCACTTTCTACACGTTTTGCATGCCTTTAAAAACTGATGCGTTAAAAATAACCCCTGAAATTTTAAACCTTAGCTATTTCTCTATATTTCCTCGATTTTTTTTTTTCTTTGGGGAAACAATGCTTCTTGATCATAATTCATACCTTTGGACAGCCTGTTTATTTCCCTCGTAAATAATGCCCCATTTGTAGGAAACATGCATTTGTGGGATGTGCAGCACAACTGATGTAAAAAATGTGCCAAATCTTGCTGAGCGGCTTATTCTTGAGTTGCTGTTGACTCCTGTTTGGTGTTCTTTGGTGGATTTTAGTAAGAAGGGAACGGGAGGGAAAAAAAGCCATTGGCAGTTTTACAAATTCTTTCAACAAACTGTTGCCAGCATGTGCAAGCACCATAAAGCGACGGCAGCTTGGCACTTACAAATCATTGTGAGTTAACCGACACAGTCGTATTGGTTATTTGAGCACAAAACTTCCACCCAAGTTAATAAATGTTGAGTCAGGTTGAGGTCAGAACTGTTGGCGGGCAACTTCATTCTTTTCCCTCCCAGATTCGAGAGGTAACATTAACATTTATTGCGTTCCAACACCGACATTATCAAGCAAACAAACATAAATGCTCTTGTACTGTAGTCTTAACACAAATGTACGTAGATAATTATATCTATCCATTTACTTGAGATGTTATCGAAGCCTACCCCGGCTGACTTTCGGAAAGTTGTGTGCTAGTATAACCAGAGAACTGGTTACTAGACAATTGCTGCACACATACTGTATAAACCAGGAGTCACCAACATGTGACAGATGTGATTTAAAAATGAACAGTAACAAAACAATAGATGCGCCTCAATGGTAAAGGGTGTCCTTTTTTTTTTTTTTTTTTTTTTACATTTTGTGAACAAGGGAGTAAGTCAAAGGACCTGGACAAAACCCACTCGGGCACAGCGCTATTTTAAAGCCAAACCTATTGCACCAGGATGGCCCGGTGTAGCTATCATAATCCATGAAATGTAAAAAAAGAAAAAAAAAAGAAAATAAAAGACAAATCTGCGTAATTGGCAAGGTGCTCCATGTCAACACCACAACAATGATGCATCTACCACCTCCTCTGATTCAGTTTGCAACGTGCGCGATTTTTCCAGACTCTTCCATTCAAAGCGGCTTGTCACTTCACTGACTTCAATGGCCTTCTGTCCCGCAGCATAAGGAGCTAGCTAGCATCCCTTGGTACTTGCTATGCAAGAGATGTGGTGTTCCTCAGCCCCACAGATTCACAGAGCGGAGCGTATATTAAGGGAGATTTAAAATCCATTACAGTTTAGTGCTCCCTGGGAAAATAGTTAAACAGAGCAAAGGCAAGAGGTGAGAAGAAGCTGCCGCCACCAAGAAGCAAATGCAAAGTGTAAGATCCAAAACTTTGGGGACCAGGCGTCTGTGTCTAACTTTATTTTGGACGTTTGACGTGGCCGTTTGCAAATATAGTACGATATTTAGTGTTTCATATGCTATTCATCTTATACATAATGTTCATTGTTTTCTGTATTTTCCAAAGGTGTGAATGGAGCCGAGCCGGGTTACTGTCGCTGTGGCTATCGTTTTACACCTGCCCTGATTTAGTGTGAACGTCCCTCGGAAACCTTTCAACATGAGCAACCACCAGTAAGTACCCCCCGACGCATCTCCTTTTCTGAGAGGCCGTGAAATCCCGAATCGCTATTGATGAACACGCCGCCTCGTTGCAAAGGGCACCTCCATCCTGGTGGGTCACGATTAGCTCAATGGGACCCGCATATTCTCCCGCGAGGGTCCGTGAACAAGGGGGAGTTGGGCCTCATCTCCACTCGAACATATCCGTCATCTCCCGTCTGCTGGCACTTCTTAGCATTCGTAAGGGACGCTCACTTGTCATCTTCTCTTATTAATAATTACTCCATGTGTGTGTGGTCCCGCAGACAAGCCCTGCATTCTGATGACAGCCGTGCTTAGAGAAGGTAGAAGGGAGGGGAAGGGAGGAAGAGGCGGTGAAGAGTGGAACAGAGTTGAGGGGTAGGGGGGGAGGTGAATCCAAAATGGGTTCAGTCAGCTGCGTTCTCCGGTTAAAGGCGCAGGGCGCTTCGAACAGTTGGCAGCGCAACGTCAGTACCGTGGCCAATCATCCTTAAGTAGATAATAGCGGGATGGTGATGACTGGTTATGAGTGCGATTCAGGCAAGCCCACGGCCAGTCAGTGAGGCGACAGATGGGAAACTCTTAATGCTGACAAAGGTTTTTTCGGGAGTTTTTTTTTTTTTTTTTTTAACTCTGATTCCCTTTGACAGGATGCCCCTCGCACTGTAGCATCCCTGTTGTGGCAGGAAAGGGTTTTTTTTTTTTTTTTTTTTAACTCTGATTCCCTTTGACAGGATGCCCCTCGCACTGTAGCATCCCTGTTGGGGCAGGGAAGGGTTTTTTTTTTTTTTTTTTTTAACTCTGATTCCCTTTGACAGGATGCCCCTCGCACTGTAGCATCCCTGTTGGGGCAGGGAAGGGTTTTTTTTTTTTTTTTTTTTAACTCTGATTCCCTTTGACAGGATGCCCCTCGCACTGTAGCATCCCTGTTGGGGCAGGGAAGGGTTTTTTTTTTTTTTTTTTTTAACTCTGATTCCCTTTGACAGGATGCCCCTCGCACTGTAGCATCCCTGTTGGGGCAGGGAAGGGTTTTTTTTTTTTTTTTTTTTAACTCTGATTCCCTTTGACAGGATGCCCCTCGCACTGTAGCATCCCTGTTGGGGCAGGGAAGGGTTTTTTTTTTTTTTTTTTTTAACTCTGATTCCCTTTGACAGGATGCCCCTCGCACTGTAGCATCCCTGTTGTGGCAGGAAAGGTTTTTATTTTTATTTTTAATTTTTTATTTTAATGGCAGGTCAAGAAGTATTTGGGTAATTTCAGGGTTTTTCAGATTTTTGTTTTCCTTTGATTCATCGAATGTCAGTTGACATCACTCGTATGTCAAATTCACCTATCCCTTACTCAGAACAATGTATTGTAGAATAAAGGATTTTTCTAAGATGTGATTGGAGTACTGATTCAAGTGCTTTCACCAATAATGCAACGGTGGACCAGTTCCGCACGCACTTCTTGAAATAGAGAATGTGCTCGAATGACCATTAATTATGTCTGGAAACAGATCAAATATTAACAGGCAACTCTATATTTCTGCAAATCCATGTTTACATTTTCAAAGGATCACTAACACAGCATTCCAAGGAAATCACAATGGTATTTTCAGAATGGCCATGTTTCCATTCTTTTATTATAAACAAAATGTTAGAATTCAAACGCCCTGCGATACAAATACCTCTCGAACGGAGCCATTCAAAACTGTGCATTTTTGTTATTAAGGGTTGCAAAGTCTGACATTGTGATACGACCCATACAGTGGCTCCCGTTATTCGTTTTGTCCAAGCAAAGTGATTTAAATATTGAAACCGATAATTAAAATGTACTCTACGCGTCCATGTCCAGATTAGTTATCCATCGTCGCACAGCTGCTGTTGACCCGTTTTCGGGGTAAAAACAAATTTTTCCATGTCTGTCTTTGGACAAAAAAATACACGACAACGCCGTTGTTCCTTGGTTAACAATAAATCGTCCAGGGAGTACAGGTCAGGGCAACAAGGCTGTGATTGTGGAAATAACGTACTTGGTGTCAGGAGCTTGCATCTGAGGGAAGTGTGGCCTGTCGCTGTGTCATTGATTTGGCACATTTGTCTTGGTTTGCTGATGATATCAAGACAGCGGATTGCTGCACTTCAAGCAGCAGCCAAATGTCTGGATACAAAATTATTGGGCAAAGTGGCGGACTTCCAGACAGCCGGCTGGAAATCCGGCGACACTTAGCACTCAGTAACAATGACACTCACGGTTTATTCGAATCGAAAGTGAAAAGCAAAAGTTAAAACAAGAGCACTCGCAGGGCGCAGACGTCTGCCAAGGCGCAAACCTTTGTCACGTGTTGAAATCAGAAAGTGGGCGACTTCAATAGAGGATCTTAATGGGCATTAAAAAAAAAAAAGAACGAAAAAAAATAAAATGCCACATTAAACTTGTTTTGACAATAGAGTTTCGGAGGCTATACATGTAGATTATTGAAATTTTTGTTTTTTTATTTAAATTTTTATGACAGTGTGCAGATCATCACCAAGATTTCATTTTAACACCTATAGGAACACGGCAATGATTCCGAGGGTTTGACATCCACCACACATATCAGCAGAGCCCAAGAATCTGCCCGTCTGCGCCTGGATCAAATCCACCAAAATTGCATTACAACAGCTGCGCCACAACTTAGACCTGGTTTCACCTGGTCTAAAGTCTAATGTACGTTCTGTCACCGAATTATCAGGTGCGCCCGGAGCATATAATAGACAACGCCCTTGGTCGACACTGTCCGCCAAATTCCCAAACATGCTAAACTAAACGTGCCCCGGAACGTAAATGAAGATGCGCCCGTTTTTTACGCCGAGCGCATGTGCTGGGAGCTAATCACGGGCAGTACGACACAACTACACTCGAAAGACAAATGAAGTTTCACTTCTCTCTAAAACACGATGTGAAAACTAATCAAACGAATGTACACATACTAAATTGTTTATGCGGCTTTTTGGACTCTGTCCGTGTCGTGCTTACTGTTATCGCAGACAGTTCGCGGAATATCCTCGCCTGCGCCGTTAAAGAGAAGCCAAGTGTTGAGATGTGAAGTTGTGTCTCCCCATGCAGGATGGCAAGCAGCCATTCTGCTGGGCGCTGGTCATAATGGCTCCTGGCCCGCTCTCTGATTGGCCGGAAATGTGGTTTTGATGCACTAAACAGTTTGTCTGTTATGACTTATTAGTGTCCTGGTTGTCTTTGGCTTGAGGTGCCAAGTGCATGCAAGATTCCATTTGTGTTATTGAACTGTCCAGACTTTTTTATAGCCGGGTTGCAACAACATGTGTTCGAAAGTCAAACCATTTTTGGGACTATGTAGCCCAAGTCAAAGTAACCTTTCAAAGGAGTCCATGAAAGCGCTTTTAATCAAGAATCAGGTCAAGCGAAGAGGAAAAAAGCTATTTTTCTTTCTAGGCCTGCTTACATTAACATTTAACAGGAGCTTGGTTCTGCTCATACAGCCTCAACTCAACACAAAAAGTGTACGATCCGCCGAGGCCGCTGTCTTTGTCTCGTAATCAATGCCTTTGCCCTGCCGTTGATCACTGGAGTTATTCACATCTCCACATAGGATACACTGGGAAAACCGCCAAGCCACGTGACACCCCTGTCGTAGGGTAACTTCTCCTTGTTACCCATTGGCTCACCTTGTTCCATCGCAGCCCGCCCTCTTTATTTAAATTTCAAGACCTTTTTTGGCATATAAAATGACAGCTGACCTTCCAAAGAACATGCGGCGTGCCATTGAATGTCATGTGAAGAAACAAAATCTATGAGCAAGAAAGCCTTCTATTGCATCTTATGGCACAAAAGGACACTTATGTGTATGATATAGGTTGAAATCGGGTTGTAATTAGAAAATGATGCTATTTGGATGTTGTAGGGCATGTCACTTTTGACCTTTGTTTCCAATCAGTGAACACACGTACACTTCACGACAGTCTACTGGACAGAAAATGTCGACAAAACAAAAAGAAATTTCTCTTCAGACAGTCTTTAAAAAAATTTCAATTTTGGCGGTGTAACGATTGGAAGTCGATGAGTAGAAATATTTGAAGCATATATAGCTTCAGTAAACAACAAACATGCCCTCCATCGCGGATTCCGGGTTCGCAGTCTCGCTATTTCACAGATGTTTTTTGTCCGTTTATAACACAAGTTTGTTCTACCCTTCTGTTTATTTTGGGGTGTAATTCCCCTCTTAACCACTAAATGCTGTAAATTTGAAAGAATATTGAAGTTTTGACTGAAGAATGTTAAATCCTCTGTAATCCTACTTTTTACACCGACAGAAACCGACGGCTGTAGATCCGCTTCATAATGTACATCTTTGGGCATGTTTATTGATGTATATTGTGAGATAGATTTGTTAGTTTGGAAAAAATAATTGCTACACCGTAACACTGTCCAATAAATTTGGTTTTTTCCATTGCTTTTTCTCTCTTTCAATCGACCAGTATCTATTTTAATCTGTTTATTTTAAAAGTGTGTTTAAAGACCTTAACAAATAAGTGCTGTAAATGCTATGAGTGTTTAGATACCGGTACTTCTATATTGCGAATTTCACTTATTGCAGGGGTGGTCTGGATCGTTTCTGTATTTAATCAAAAAAATGATAAATATTGAGTAGCATATAAATAATAATGGAGGTTCAGAATCCCAGCACACTGAAAGTAAGAAATGTCTCAGCATGTTTGGATTTTTCTTCATTAGAATCAGACATCATTTTAGCCAACACATTCTACTTTGCCAACACCCAAATCCAGCGGTGTGGTTTTAGTCGTAAAACCAGGCTTCCTCCATTAATGAGAACCCGATGAGAGAAATCGCACTTAACTGTCCGGGACGTTCTACTAGACACGCTTCTATACGACCCCCTTTACAGCTCCGTACTGACTTTGTGACAGGGAGTCTAACGTTGCTCTTGTTGTGTACTCAGCGCCCCTCCTCAAGCTGCATCCTCCGAGCTGGAGGTGATCTCCCAGCAGGTGGAGGAGGAAAACCAATGTGTGGCCCCAGTTCAGCTGGTTAGCTTCAACTACAGAGACTTGCCTCTGGCCGCCCTGGATGTCTCTCTGGCTGGTTCTCAGCTCATCTCCAACCCGGATGAAGAGGACAACCGAGAGGGGTATGTGTCTGAAAGTCTCTCTCACATGTTTTGATGCACTGCAGTCAGCAAATGTTTGGATTTCGTATTATCGAGCACTTTTTGTCGTTGTTGTTGCTTTGCCGAACCTAACCGCCAAAAAATTGTTCCATGAAATAGACCCGCGCTGCAAGTACACTTATTGTCTTTTACCGAAAGACATCGGAAAACTTGGGGGGAAAAAAAAAGCGGAAGCTATATTTACCCCACAGTGTAAATAGGTGCACTCAAAGGTCCAATCGACTTCAACCATTGACGCTTCTCTACTGGTTACAATTCGAAAAGCCTCCAAACAAAAAAATATGCGGTAATGTCATAGCTCACAGCTCCATAGATGGTTCACACTTTAGATTTTTTTTTTTTCCCCCACTGTCGGATCAGAGATCACACAGGAGCGGTAAATGAACAAGATTAATCATTATAATCAGATCCCGCTCTCACTAATTTGGACGCTCAAAAGCCCCGAATGTAATCACAAAATGACTGATGTTCCCACCCCAATTCTGAAAATTCTCGTCATATTATTGTCACATTTCACATTGGACTCCTATAAGTCCTGAATTTGCATGAATTGATTATTGCCATGATATCAGATATTCTTTTGCTTTTGCTTGCTGATTTGCTGGTTCCATTTCCGCACAGTATTTTTATTTATTTATTTATTTTTTTTTTTATTCTCAATGTCGATATCTGTCAGAAAACAGAGAGAGTTGTTAGTGGCACATATTAGCTGGGTCCTTCAGATCGACCTTTTCTGTCCTTGACATCAGGTTTGTGTTTTCCGATCACAATTACCGCCGTGCTGTTGGCTCGGTCCACGACACGCCTTTCCTGGTAGGTTCTCTTGGAGTGTCCATTGCATTCCTGTCAGGAAGCGTGACTAACACGCTTTTGGCATCTTTGGTTTAAAAAGAAAAAAAAAATTGCAATTTCACCACGGAAGCCATGTTGTGTGGGCCGAGAATGTCCAATTTGGTCTGGGATGGTCCGATCGGATGCTGGCAGCTCTTTGAGCTGGGACAGATGGATCTTGACCCACTCCAACATATTTAATCCTTGCCCAGTAAAATGACTGAATCCTGCAAATAGTAACCACCCTACTGAGTGCGAAATCTGGTTGGCCGTTACAGGAGGCGACTTGGTAATATGGACAAAGTGAACAAATCTTCCAAAAAAAAAAAAAGAAGGAAAAAGAGGCATCTGTTGAATGCTACTCCCAGTTTAAGTTTACAGACAAGCGCAACATAAAACAAAGAATTAAACATTGTGGACCTAAACACAAACGTTTGCAGCCACGCATGTAGACAGAAAAACAACTATACTCGCAGGCATATATTCTTTATCCTCCTGGGGCACATTGAATTAATGACGGGGCACCGACTGTTTAATGCTTGACATTCTGATGGAATTATAATTTTACAAGATGTTTCGAGGACATCCAAAAAGGATAAATGGCATTTTATGCATTTCAATGAAAGATGATTTGAGATAAATATATTTTGGGTTACAAACATAGTCAAGGAAGTAATTAAACTCTCAACTCAAGACACCCCTTTAAATACTGAAATAATGTCAATGTTTTGGGGTAGCGGAAGAGGAGTTCCATTTTTTTTTCTGTCACTATAGGTTGCTGCTATAGATAGCTCAACAAAGATTCATGATTTGTAGTCACTAAATAATTACTTTCAGAGTAACTCGGGAAAATTGGATCACTTCTCTGCTTTTCATAACTTGAACATTGCCGCTGTGCTGCAGCACAATCATCAGTGGCGAAAGATTACAACTGTAAGACGTGACGAGATCTAGCTCTACAGAGTAGTAAACTGTCCACGGGTTACATAACAGACACTTTTATTGGCTACTCTGTAACAATCATGTTGATTAAGATGGGAGCTGCATTATATTATGATTTGTCTGTTCAGGTTTTTGCACTTGTTACGTGACTATAAGACCGTGCGTATTTTTTTTCAATTTTTTTTGCTGAAGAAGTGACTTGTAAATGTATGACCAAGGTTTCAAAACGTTTTTGACCATTTAATTTGAACAGGGGGTGTAGACTTTTTATATCCACTGTATGCTGAGGTGCCAGTCAAAAAAGACGCACAGTATATTTGCTAAGAGTTCGAGAGTTCAAGTGGTTGAGCAATTGTGCCACGGCATCAAGTTGAGGAAACTATTTTCGGTGCACCTCCACTCACAATTTAGGAATGACGAGATCAATTTCAGCAAATTTCTATCCAACCTTTTCTGCCTTCTCTAACCTCCGCGGCACCCCCTGCATATGGTCAGTCAGTATTTTTTGTGTTTGAAACTCAGCGTGCCTCCTGGTTGTGCAGAGGAGAACCCCCCGCCCCCATCTGTGCTTAAGAATTTCCTGTGAGTGTTTTTAGATCGGCATTTCTGGTGACTAGGTCAATGTCAAACCTGTCCTTGCTGCGTTGCGCACCTTCACATGCACGGCGCGTGGAAAAAAGAAGAGCGTCACCGCTTGTGGCAGCCTTAGTGACGCCTGCATTGCATCATAGGAATGACGCAGGCGCTTTCTTCACACAATGCGAGTATGCAATCATGCTTAGAGTTACAGGAGGTGCTCGGGTTTCCGTGACAGAATGGTTTCTGCTCTAATTTACATGCCAGACATGCTTTGGCACTTTGTAATATCAGGTTTTTTTCAGGTCGGGGGGTGGGGATCTGATTGGCTCCTTTGGTTACAATTAAACCTCTGTGACGTTTAGAGGCAAATTCTTCGAAACGAAACCCCTCACATGTTTCCCGCATGTCTCACGATTTGGGGGCTTCGCTTGGATATTTGATGTTTGCGTTTGTATGCGGCTGCGCTTGCAAAGGAGCGGAGGAGCACACAGAAAAGCCCATTTAGTCTTGCGCGGCAGCTTCGCGAATGCTCTTCATCAGGAGACGTGGGCGATGATGTGGGAGGTGGATGTTCTTGCGGACCACATGGGGCACAGGCAGTACTTGCAGATTCTGTGCGCCGGTGAGCTGGATGCGATTATTAATAGAATTTGGCTGCAGCGTCCCCTCTTCTCTTCAAGATGGGATTTCACACCGCACTCAAATCATTATTGTCTTGATTAATGTGAAGCGAGGCCGCATAATCTTCACACCCTGATAGTGACAACTTAGCGCTGCCTTAATAGGGGTTACAACCAATCTATTTTAAATTAGTTGGAGGTAGCATAGCATTTGGAAAGTGTACATATGCGCAGTGGTTATTAAGTTTACACACCCTTGTTCAGATGCCAGATTTTTGCGATGACGGCATTGCGAGTGTTGGGGGGAAAGTGGCCTTCTTTCCTCCGCGTGTTCGTTGAATTTCGGACGGTGAGGATGTTGGTTATCCAAATACAGGCTGGAGACGATGAACGGTACCTTCGAAGGTTTTATTTTTCTTTTCTGCAGTTTACGAATCGATTCGGGCTCCTGAGAGTTTCAGATTTTGTCAGGAAGCCCAGAAAAAATACAGTCATGAGAATATATACAGGTACAGACAATATGATAATGAGAGGCGAGGAGTTACGCCTCCATGCAAATCCCGGAAACAAAGAAAGGTCGATGCAATTCGATCTTGGCATGTTGGGAAAGTCCAGACCTCTTCCGCTGTACCTAAATCTTGAGATAAGAGTCCCTCCCCGGGGGAAGTTGTCGGCCTTCCGGGACTCTCCCGAGGTGGGAGTCAAGGGGCACCAAAGGTGATTGTGATCACAGTAGGCAGGAAATACCTTCAACAGCATTCTACATTCTTTGTTTCAAGTGTTTGATCAGAACCAACAAGAGAGAGGGGCTAAAAAAGTACCTCTGTTTTGTCTGTTTGTTTGTTTGTGGACATGAGCAGTGTTGTGTTTACACAAAGCATAGCTTTGCAAAGCAAATTTTCAACCTTGGTTTCTTCAGACTATGACAAAATCGGCCAAACACATGAGCAAATGTGTTGTTACACAAAAGATAACATCACTATTTTAAAAGTGGCTCGACTCAGCCATACTTTTTGCATCTCGGGGAAAATGGGCGTTCTACTGAGGACAAATGCTAATACACCGCCATTATGGCTTTCACTTTCAGAGAGCAGCAGTCGTTTGCTATTCTCCGGACTGGTTGTCGCGTCCTCCAGACTAGTAGGTGGGGCTTCCGACTTCTGTCCATGTAAGGTCCATGTAAGCTTCTCCCTGTGCGGCTGTCCGGGCACAGCCGCTGCTTGTCCTGAGTCTTCGTCCACATCTCAGCCGGCTGCCCGCAGCAGCAGCAGCAGCAGCATATGCCATTGATCACCAGGGGTCACACTGAGAGGTGTGAGGCACACAGCAATGACAGATGGTTCATATGGGTCAAAATGCCACTTTGACTGGAGGAGAGAGCGACGGTAGAGGGGAAAAAATGGAAGGATGTAGGATCGGAGCAAAACCAGCTCACATCGCTACCAGCGGCTTCATTTGATGAATGTTGGACACTGATATGGGATTAGGGCAAAAAAAAAAAACAGAAATAAAACGCGGGCAGCAATTGGGCGTCGCGGTTCACACAGCCGCCTCACTTCTCTTGTCTGCGGCCTTCCAGCGAAGTTTACATGTTCTCCCTGTAGGTTTTCTCTTTAGGTACTGTAGCTTCCTCCTACATTCTAAAGAAAAACATGTTCTGTTCATTGAATTCTCTAAATTGTCCATTGGTATGAATGTGAGTACGAGTGGTTGTCATCATGTGCTCTCCAATTGTTTGGTGACCATTTCACGGTTGCCCAAGGTGAGTCATTCGCCATAATTAAAATCATCCATCCATCCATTTTCCGATCCGCTTTTCCTCACAAGGGTTCAGAGGGGTGCTGGAGCCTATCGCAGCTGTCTTCGGGCAGTAGGCGGGGGACACCCTGAACCGGTTGCCAGCCAATCGCAGGGCACACAGAGATGAACAACCAGCCGCACTCACACCTCGGGAAAATTTAGAGTGTTCCATTGATCTGTCATGCATGT